CAAGTTAGTTGGGACGGATGGTGAACTCGTATTTGCGGTCTCAGGTAAGCTCCGACCTTTGTTTGGATCGTCCCGCGCTGGAGGTCCCTGATTTTCAACCCTGATTTTCACATTCATGCGTTAATTGCGGGACCTCAAATTAATATTAATCTTCATTATAGTAAAACACAGCAAATTATCTGCACTCAAGTCGAAGAATTCTCCCTGTAGCGACGAAGAATGGATTCTGATTTTGTCATCCATTCTGCTTCATGAGCCGCCGAAGGAAGGGAATGAGAATGTGACCAGAGGAGTTGAGATTCATGCTAAAGTGGAGAAGAAAGCCGTGACCCTCGTGATCCAAAAAGTTATTGAAGGGATCAAAGTACGTATCCTCCCAGTCATTATGTTGGCAATCTTATCATATTACATACTAATTATACATCAGCAACGTCTCGGCGCAATCAAACTGGATGAAACCGAAGAAGAAGAAATTGGCCTTTTCGAATGGTGCGCTCTAGCAACAAAGTCGGCAGATTCGGCAAAGGATGAGCTGGAAGCATTACAAACTAAGTACAGGGAACAGCAGAAAATGTTGGATGGACTCAATGAAACTTTCAGGGAAGTAAATAAAACAAAATCCGACTATGAGATTCAGCTGTTGGAGAAGTTTAGCCTCTTGCAGAATGAGAAGAAGCTCAAAATAAGGGACCAACAAACCTTATTAGCAAGCGCCAAAGTTGATCCAGAAAAAGTCGATACAGTGCGAGCTACAAGATCTGGGAAGTTCAGAACCGCCGGCGCATCGAGAACTGGGAAGCGTAAAGCCGGGAAGGAAGCGCAGGCTGAGAGCTCAGATTCAGATGATGCTTTTGAAAAAATGGATATTGACAAAAAGCAACAGGAGGATGATACCGCCGATGAATCCGACCAACAAGAGGTACAAACTCCTGATCGCTCGGATGAAGAGACTGAAGATGAGGCAGACGCTCCACAGTCAAAAGCTCAGCGTCGTAAGGGAAAAAATATCGTTCAAGATGATTCGGATGAGGAGATGCAAATAGCGCCTAAATCAACAGAGACAACAAAAATCGCCGAGCTACCAGCTAAAAGAGAACTACCATTTGCCAAAAAGCCAGTTCCGGTACCTGCAGATGATGGATCTGAGACCGAATCGGGGTCGGACGATGAACTATAATAGACATTCTCATTCCAATAAGAATTATCCTTCAATGAATAACGGGTCAAATCAATGAATGTCCCAAACTGTCTCATCGACACTACACAACATACAAACGTGATTGGACCTCGCAAATAATATGACTCTTCCCAAGCGCAAACGATATGCAAATCATAATCACGATTCCAATTCTCAATTCCCATTCACGCACTTCATCCACTTGCACCAACTCGGCAATGCCAAAGCTAAAGCTCCACAGTGACTCGTGCGTATCCCTGACAACCACCATCTCGAGCGGGATTTACAGAGTTGACGATATAACGGTGGGGGAAATTGTGCATGTCGCATGCACAGGTGGGGTGAAATATGTATGCACTCTATGCACCACGAGAGTGTGGATATCACACCGACATTTCTACATGCTGCGAAGAGGGGCGTTACTGGGTGATGATTCTGTCCCATCGTGTGGCGGGGATATATAAGGGACCTGGAAGTCTTTTGAGGAATGGGTATTGTGTGAACAATGATTGAAAGAAAGGCTGGCGAGAGTTGGTGGTGGTCAGTATATGGTGTGTGCGGCGATGTGGCTGGAAGCTTTGGGGGCCGCAAAAAAATGTGAAGGTGATAAATAAATAATTTCCAGCCTTCTTTTGTTTCTGTGGTAATGCTATCTTGCATCAAATATATCATTTCATGCCAGCCTCCGTCAAGTGATGGGGTTTCTTCGTGGTCATGGAGTCTTGACCGCACTATCAAACCCCCCGAAGATAATTTCAAATCCCACATCTAATTACTATTAATATCTCATCGAATATGATAATTTGTCTGTGATAAGCAGCTTGATTTTCGAGATTTTTTTGGACACACTCTCAGATTGCATCTGCCAGTATATCTACTCATGGTATAATATAAAACATTGGAATTTTTCATTGTTGCAATCCGGGGTACCAAATCTTCGCAGTGAGCAGCCAAATCGCTCATTCATTAAGACGATCCGTTTGCTATACTCGTCCATGTTAGGGCATGCATGAGAACAATATTACACTACCGAGATTATCACCCCCATGGCTACTGTTACACACACTCTACCCTGCACTTTCACCCCATCAATAACAGTAACAAACAACAATAATGCTCTTCATCTACGCTTGTGAAAGCAAATTTGAATAAGAGATCAAGTGAAATACCTCAAATAAAGAAGACTCCCTTTTCGGTCTGCAAAGAAATATGCATATAGCATATATATACTGTGAATTAGCTATCTAGTATCTGAAGTGCCAAAAGTTGTCACATACGACCATAGACTGAGGAGAATTGGGCATCCCGTCCGCTCTGCCATACACAAGCCTCAGATCGGTAGATTAGTAGTTGGGTGGGTGACCACCAGCGAATCCCTACTGTTGTATGTATGTCTTTTCCTTTTTGGTACTGTGCTATTGTTTTTGATTGTGTTTTTGTGCAAGTACCTACCTAGCTAGGTATGAATGAGTGGATGAAAGTAGATTTTGATTTTGATAAGTTGGAGGGGGAAGGGTGTAGGGGAGTCAATAAGTTAGAAATTATCTGGGTACGATGTAGGGAAGAATATTTTTGGCTGACGCAACTGGAAATCGAGTATATATTTCGTAGCGATAATCAAGTGGCTTGGTATCTTGACCCTGAGGTGAGCCTTAAGTGTAGGTAGCTGATGCATTCTTGCAGAACTATGGGAACATGAAAAAAGGGAAATGATAGTAAAATATGATTTCCGTTTCCTTACAGAGATACGATGTCAGGTATCTGAATCAGGGAACCACAAAGTAGAAGATGTATGATGTGCATGCAATTCATTCATTGACCTGTTCTTATTGTGAATATGTCACGACTGTTTACTCGCCGGACTCTGAATCCGGTGGAATGTTGAGATGATTCCGATAAGTTGAGAAAGTTATCTTGTAACTAGATGAACGAAATCGTCTGAGAGTTCAGGCTTATCGTGTGCTTTTCGTAAGTCTATTTGATATAGCTCTTGCATTTCATTTGGGATGAGTTGAAGCCGGACGTAATGAATACATATGTTTATTGTGCGTTGTGATGCTGAGAAACTCTTGTCATGGAGCATCGTTTGAAAAAGTTGATGGTAATGAGTTTCCAGTACCTGCGATGCTAAGATGTCACTTTGGTCTTGGTGATTATTCCTATTCTAGAGAGAAAATCAACTAGGGAGCAGAGGTTCAGGACTTCAGACTGGAAATCCTTGGTATCAGAATCAGAATCGGAAGCTGTGAGGATTTTAAAATTGACTATATGTGAAGCTCTGCGAGGGGATTTGCTTGGATAGAATTACAAACGCAATTTAAAAGCACGCGGTAAGGTTTCGAAGTGTCTTTTACAAGGTCTAAAGAAAACCAGTTACCACTATGCACACACGCATTGAGAAAACGAATTGCTGCAAATGTGAACGAAGTTAAATGGAGTAATTCGAACATTAAAAGTGGTGGTGGTTGATATGAATATTATACATACTCCGAGCCAGAGTTTATGGGTAATATGGTAGAAAAAGTGATGGGGGGAGGTGGGGAACGAGAGTGTGCTGAGTGATCAATAATGTTTTTCTGGAGTTCGATTGGTGAGGTACTTGTTCTTGAAATACTTCTATGGTCTCCTCGCTAAAAAAAAACAGGGGTTTTCCTGAAAGAGTGGTCTTGTCTATTATGTGTAGAGAGAGCTTTCGTAATTCCAATGTGCTCCTCCCCTGGAGCTGCATACGAATAGTCAAGAAGAGGAGTCAAATTTTTGAAAGCAGAGGTTGCTTCTATTGATGGAGGGATATATGGATTAATATGTAGGATGTTGAGTTTCTAATAATGATGTGTTTCTGTTATATGTCTTGGCTGATGAGAAGATCTGAATGGCAGATACTTCGGTATATATAGGGTGCAGGGACGAAGAAAAGAGTAGAGATGGGCTAGTAATTTTATCGTTAGAAGAGAAGATAAGTGCTAAATAATCATTGATATGTGAAGATAGGTAGGGTATCAAGAAGAAAACTTGGTCTTGGATGAAGAAGTATGGTCAAAGTTTGAGTAGTGTTATGTATGATATAGATAGTGAGCGATTGTATGTTCTGGTACAGCTGAGTCTTTACTCTGAGTAAGCAGCTCACTTTAAAAATATAGTAGATAGCTTTACAGATCTGAATTTGACTGCTAGGCGTATCAATTCATAGACCCCCTCGAAGACAAAAATTTGATTGATAGTCTTCCTGCCACTCTACACCCTTCCATAAAACGGATGACGAACATGTGGTTGTGAAAAGTTGTGAAAATAATCCTAATTCTCTAAACTGCGTATTCATCTCCTCGTAAGGATTTGGTAACCTGGCATGAACTACTTTTTTAACTGATATCCAAGGGTAGGCGTTCGAGTATTAATTGCGCCCGTTATGTATATGTCGCTCACTAACTGACTCTTTTATACCCTCTATGATATTAGAAGCGAGGTGAAGATCTTTTTATTGAAATAGATTGGTTCAACTATCATTCATCTCGGATAATTTACGTCATTCGTTGTGAACTCTCTTGCGTGACAATATCGAAAATCAGAACGAGAAAACTCAGTTGGTTTTCATTTCCAAATGCAGTAATGTAGACGCTCCCAAAATTGGACTACCTCCAGAGAACGAGATAGAGCCATACGAAAAGCCCTGCATATGACGAAAAAGATTTCATTCCAATGGTCTGGCGGTAGGAAGGAATCGGATTTTCTATGCTATACTGCTTGCCCAGCCACTACTATGGGTTGTAAGAAGCCAATCGAAGATTCTTAATTCTACCGTTCCCAACACCACTTCAAATATATATTACCTGCCATCTTGCAAAGCACGATGTGCCAATTTCTCCGCTTCTATATTATCCTCTCTCGGGACGCTCCAAAAACGAACCAAAACTTCGTGCTCCGCAAGATCCAAAATAGCTTTATCAATCTTGTCTATCAACTCACGGTTAACGACCTCTTCACCCTCGGAACTTTCAAAGCCATTTTTGCGCCATAGCCAAATCGACGTGGTGAAGGTGTCATAAACATATGTTGAATCCGTCATGATAACGATTGTGAATGATACTTCACGCTCGCTAGTGGAACGCCAGTTTTCAAGGACTGAGCTGTTTATGAGATTCAGTGCACGATCAACGGCAACCAGCTGCGCGTAGTCTTTAGTTTGCTGTCCCCCATCAGATCCCTCTATCGTGTCGAACGTATTGAAACTTGAATCCTCCCCGAAGAATATTCCATAAAATGATTTGCTTCCCGAAGCATTCCCGTCTTGATGACAAGCTCCATCAACAGCAACCACTAAGCTCTTCTTGTCACCAGCCATCTCGTTGGCATCGTGAACATGAGAAATTCTAGAAATTTGATCATAATAAATAAATCTCTTAGTATTTCTACTAGCTGGGGAAAAGTACTGATGGAGATCAAATTTGCGCGAGAATATCTGCTGATCCTCCAAAGATCTTTCCTTATCCCGCCTAGCCTCTCGCACTAGATACTTTTCCAACATCTCGAATCCCAAGTGAGAAGATTGGCCACTTGCTTGGAGGTATTATTGATGGAAGATAGTGGGTGGATGTTAGTGATCTCCCATGTTGTGATAGATTGAGGAAATTTGTTACTGTTGCGAATGACTAAGCAAACTAACTTGAGCACGACTCCACCAGCTAATCCACCAGCACCTGTGGGAAGACACAAACCCAGCACACTCTTTTAACAACACTTCTACTTCAACATCAAACAGCAATCCAATCCAACAAACCTTCGAAATCCCCCAAGCAACTCAAAACATCACAAACCACAAGCCTCGCAATTCCAGAAAACACATCGCATCTTAACACCCAAACGGCCTGAATTAACAAAATCCCGAAAGTATAAGATTGATAGTCAAGGTTTTAAGCGGGAAAAGCAAGTATCCCGAGTTGAGCAGAATCGATTGAATTAACGTCATTTAATAATCCCAATACCGTTACATTGCCAGATAGGACTTTGTTGGATCCAAATTGCTATCTTTCTTGAAGTGATTTCAATCCGTTTCTAGGCCAGAAATAAGGTATAGGGATACTTGTCTTCCTCGAAAGGAACTAGTCAGCTGCTTGAAGGGCCGACTGTCAGAGGGTATTCTTGGATGTGCTAGTATTTCTGTTCTCGGTGTATCCGCGTTTTATCCTAATTCATGGTCGCCTACTGCAAAAACATTCAGCAAGTTCTAGTACCTTATCATTGTGCCCTGACTCGGTATTTTCCTAGGCCCTCGAAGCACATTTTAGTCATGTCACTTGCTCGATACAGGGTGTAACCCAGTTAGATGAGGTCATACATGCATCTCATCATATTCGCTAACGCTGAAGCTCAGGATTAGTATTGTTGATGGTATAAGACGGCTAAGAGGTAAGATGCCAGTGAAAGCACAAAAACTTAACCTCGCAATGAAGTGGAATGAAGTCCAATGATCAGATATATTTGCCAAATACTCCTCAATCTTTCCATCTATGACCTGTCCTCCGGTGCAAACTTATCCCTCCAAAAGCCCCTGTAATGTTTCTCGCTACCGATCTTAGCAATCTCTTCCACCTCCTTCGGTGTCAGTTTGAATTGTTTAATCTTCTGATATCCCTTCAATCGGTCCTCATTTCCACTAGTAGTCAATGCTACGATTCCCTGATCAATAACCCATCTCAATGCAATCTCACCGGGTGTGACTCCATACTTCTTAGCTAGTAGAGAATAGGTATCGTCCAAAGGTCCAGGAGAGGCCTTGACGGCAGCGGTCAACGGAGAGTAGGCTGCTATTGCTATGTCCTTCTCGCGAAGGAAAGGAATCAGAGGTCCATGTTGAAGATAAGGGTGATATTCGATCTGGTTGATGGAAGGGATAATCTTCGCCGTCTCCAAAATAGTTTCTATGTCCTTTTGTAGGAAGTTAGACACTCCAATAGATTTCGCTTTTCCGGAAGCATGAATTGCTTCCATCTCTGCCCATTTTCTTTGTAAATCTTGAGGGATCTTGGCGAAGTATGGAGCGTGAATCAAGTAGAGATCGACATAGTCGAGCTGAAGCTTCTTCAGAGATTCTTCAAAGGTAGCTTGTGTGTCAACTACTTTGGTACCAGTAATCTTGGTAGTTATGAAGAATTTCTCGCGAGGAACACCGGATTCTTTGATTGCCATACCCATCTCGGTTTCATTTCCATACACTAGAAACAAGCGTTACAAATGGTGATCATCTGAAAGCATTGATTGATGAGAAATACCTTGAGCTCCATCTAAATGATAGTAGCCAGCATTGATGGCCATGACGGCCGTTTTCACAATCTCATTATCGATCTGACCATCTGGATTGGATTTGTAATGAGCAGTTCCAAGGCCATACCCAAGCATTGGAATCTCAGTCCCATCATTTAACTTGAGATTTTGCAATTGACTCATTTGCTTTGGAGAATCACCCGAATTGCCTCCAGCTCCAAAAGAACTTTGATATGCCGAGGTTTCAGAATTCATCATGTAACGAGCAGGAATTGCAGAGAAATGGAGATTGAAAGAACGTTTTATAAGAGGACGAGTGGAAAATCTGGAAGCAGAATTGATCAATGTATTCATAGGAAACAACAATGAAGGAGGAGGTAGAACGTAGGTACTACCTAGATATTTATCAATACTACCGTTGCATGACGATTTTCAAGTTCATCAACTACTGAGGCCGATTTGAATCATTTAGCATAAACCCCAAAAATAGATTTTTGCCTAATGAAAAAATAAATTTTAGAATCTGTATAATATGTTTATAGAAATCTTATAAAGAATAATTAAATTTAACCTTACTAAAGACTTTTTATAAAATAAATTATATCATTAAATAGCCCTTAGGGTTAGTTTTATTTATTTGTTTTTAGAATTCATTTTATAAATTTCTTTAAAAAGTATATTAATATTTAAAATATCTTTTCAAATAGTTTTTTTTATAGTATATAGACTATTTTAGGATAAGTGAGATAAGCGAGATAAGTTTAGTAAGAATTCCTTATCTAAAACTTAAGCTCGAGCTCAAGCTTATTTTGTTTAAATTATATGACTAATATAGTTTTAGTTTTATAATATTGATAAAAATATTTAATTCAATATATATTTTTAAAGGATTTGATAAAATAGAAGACAAAGAGATAAACTTATTAATTAAAATTTAAGGAATTGATTAATATAATTCTTCTTGAATTATCTCAAAAATTGAAATTTATATTTAATATAATATAATTTTAATCAATAAATCTATTGATTATAAATACTTCAAATATTAGGATTGATGATTTATCAAGCCACTAATAGACTGACTAATCAAATCTCAAATAATATTATCAATATTAAAAAATATTTAATTCAGTATATAATCTTAAAGGGATTGATAAAATAGAAAAAAAAGAGACAAACCTATTAATTAGAATTCAAGGAATCTATTGATATAATTTTTTTTAAATTATTTCAAAAATTGAAATTTATATTTAATTTAAAAGTATTTTAATATATATAAATAATAATCAATTTTCAATATTGAATCTTTTATTTTTCAAGTATTATTATATTGAATATAAATTTCAATTTTTGAGATAATTCAAAAAGAATTATATCAATAGATTTCTTGAATTCTAATTAATAGGTTTATCTCTTTTCTTTTTATTTTATCAATCTCTTTAAGGTTGTGTACTGAATTGAATACTTTAGTATAAAAGCATACTACTAAATTCTAAATACATTTTTAGCTCAAACAAAAATCTATTTTTGGGGTTTATGCCAAATGATTCAAATCGGCCTCAGTATCAACCCCACCAAGCCCACTCTGTCACCCGAGAAAGCTCCCGTTAAACTATAACTAGGGGTAGCTTGTGGTCCGCATGGATTATTAACGATTATCAACTTATCAACACCCCAATCAAGCCGGAGCATGACATTTGCCTCCCTTGCCCCTCATTCTTAGACACAAACCAAAAGTACCTAGGTATTCAAAGCAGTCCCAAACCATACCCAATCACAGAATACTTTGATAGTGCTCTCAAGATCAATAGAATATTTATCAGCTTCTGTTTATCGAGAGTATCTATAGTATCATCAAAATAGTTCATGCTCTTGCGTTTCTTCTCAAGACCTCTGGTACCCCGCTTGCGCATAGCTCAGATGGCATCTCATATCTCTCAAAGCAGTACCTCGAAGGCCTCTTCCTTTGCCGGAAAATCCCTCGCAGACCTTCCTAAATCATGGACATTTACCTCATCACTACCTCCCGATCCTCAGTTTCCCACGCCTGCCGCATCGCACAAAACTGCTCGCGATGAAATTGGACCTCGGCAGGTAAAGGGCGCATTATTTACTTGGGTTCGACCCGAACATTCGATAAATCCAGAACTTCTCGCTGTAAGTCCCACTGCGATGAGAGATTTGGGAATTAAAGAGGGAGAAGAATCCACGGAAGAATTCAAACAAACAGTTGCCGGCAATAAAATTCTAGGATGGGATGAAGAGAAATTGGAGGGAGGATATCCATGGGCGCAATGTTATGGTGGGTGGCAATTTGGTTCTTGGGCAGGTCAATTGGGCGATGGACGAGCAATCTCTTTATTCGAGACGACAAATCCGAGTAGTAACGTTCGATACGAATTACAATTGAAGGGTGCAGGAATAACGCCATACTCGAGATTTGCAGATGGGAAAGCTGTGTTGAGATCAAGTATAAGGGAGTTTATTGTCTCTGAGGCTCTGAATGGATTGAAGATCCCTACTACCCGAGCTCTTTCCCTGACTCTCTTGCCGTTTTCGAAAGTCAGGAGGGAAATAACAGAACCCGGGGCCATTGTGGCAAGATTCGCCGAATCTTGGTTACGTATTGGAACATTCGATATACTACGAGCGCGTGGGGACAGAGCTTTGATAAGAGAGCTTTGCACATATATCGCAGAAAATGTATTTCAAGGATGGGAATCATTACCAGGAAGAAATTCTGCAGATGATGGCAAAACAGAAACTATTGAAAGAGGAGTATCGAAGGACACAATTGAAGGTCCGGCTGGTTTCGAAGAAAATCGCTTCACTCGTCTATATCGCGAAATTGTATTGCGCAATGCAAAGACAGTTGCAGCGTGGCAAGCATATGCCTTCACAAATGGTGTACTTAATACGGACAATACATCCATCTTTGGTTTATCCATTGACTTTGGACCATTCGCTTTCCTCGACAATTTCGACCCTAGCTATACTCCTAACCATGATGACCATATGCTTCGCTACTCCTACCGCAATCAACCAACCATAATCTGGTGGAATCTAGTCCGTCTAGGTGAATCTTTGGGTGAATTAATAGGTGCCGGTGCTGGTGTCGACTCTGAAGAATTCATCGAGAAAGGAGTTCGTCAAGAAGCCGCCGACGAAATTGTTTCCCGCGCAGAAGCTCTCATAACCCGCGTTGGCGAAGAATACAAAGCCACCTTCCTAGCAGAATACAAGCGTCTCATGACCGCCCGTCTCGGACTCAAGGTATTCAAAGAAACGGATTTCGAAACCTTGTACAGCGAACTACTCGATACAATGGAAAGCTTAGAATTAGACTTCAACCAATTCTTCCGTAAACTTTCCTCCATCCCCATTGCCTCTCTCGAAACCAGCGCCTCGCGAAAAGAAATCTCCACCATATTTTTCCATCACGAGGGCGTCACCGGTCTTAACAACACCATGGAATCAGCAACCACTCGTCTGGGCGACTGGCTTCAGAAATGGCAAGGAAGAATATATGAAGATTGGGGACCGGATGGTGATGACGAGAACCGCACGATAGCAATGAAGAAAGTGAATCCGAAATTCATACCCAAGGGTTGGGTTTTGGATGAAATTATCAAGAGGGTAGATAAGGGTGGCGAGAGAGAGGTACTGAATAGAGTAATGAAGATGGTGAGTGATCCATTCAAGGAAAGTTGGGATGAGGATAAAGAGGAAGAAGAGAGATGGTGTGGGGATGTGCCGAGGGGTGATAGAGCTATGCAGTGTAGTTGTTCTTCATGAGTGGTTAGTTGTTCGAGATCAGGCAAGATGATAGGGGTGATAAATATATATCATACATATATCATGGGCAATTTCAGAATAGGATGCCAGAATATATTACATCATATAATACACATAGATGTCTAAACTGCATAGAACTTGAAGGAACAAATTTCTCAAATCTATCAACGAAAATTTAAGTGCAAGATAATCTTTTTGAAACACAATATGTGCATCACAGTATTATTGGTTTGATAGTTATTTTTCGTATTTCCAAAAGATGTAGACTGCAGTATCTAGTTTTCACCTTTTTGTTGACCATCAAACTCATATCCCCATTTTCTCACTCGTTCAATCATGTTCATCTGATTCTCATGACTTATCCTCCCCTACTGAAGAAGTTTCAAAAATCTTCATCGAAGATGAATGACAATCTTCATTCGAGCAAAATCAGCCCTTTCAGCCAGCCTTTATTTCGTCTCATCATTGACACCCAACTCCCATAGTATAGTTTGTGATATCAAATGAGACCTTTTTGTCTTTGTGAATAAGAAAATCCCCCACTCCCTTCAATCACCAGTGATCTGCTTCACACGCCACCGAAGCCGATGAAGATCCAGTAATATCTCAGTCTCGCTCACGAGACCCTTCGTGGTAATACACGGAAGAAACAAAATGCAAAAGAAAACGATTGTAAACACGTTTAAAGGAAATAGCTCCTCCCCCTTGCTGTTTTGATCCGAAATTAAAAAATTCGTCGCGAAGTTTTTGATACACAGCAAAGAAAGTTATCCTGATCCAGCAAATTTCGATTCATGATTGGGTATGTTTTATTGTGACACAGTCTGGGAATCACCACGACCTCGATATCCCGTACCACGGCCACGTGTAGGCTGTCCATTACCGGCATAACCACCTCTTCCTCTGTATCCACCACGGCCGCGACCACGACCTCGATATCCTCCACGATATCCACCATTATCGACACTTCCCTGGCCGAAGGTTTCAACATTCTTCTTTTGTTCTTCGCCTCGCCATTGATGTCCACCAGCTCTGTTTCCGGCAGCCTCTGTACGGTCCTTTGCCTCACTCGAAATGTTGTCGAAAAATGATGTGGCTTTGTTATATGCCTTGGGTGCGGTTTCCTTAACCTCAGCCTCAGGCGCAGGAGGCTGTTCCCCAAGGGGAGATCCAGCAATAGCCTCCTTGACTAGGTCTTGTTTATTGAATTTTGCATTAGCAGATTCGAAATCAAAGTCGGCCGCGGGGACATCGACTTTAGCTGGACCAGGAGCCCGACCACCACGTCCTCGTCCTCTTGCGGCAAATCCATTAGTGCCTGGTTGTCTGGGAGCACGAACCGGTTCGGTTGTTCGCATTTCGTTGACCTTTCTGGTTAGGTTATCAACTGCGCTTCCATTGGTTTGTTGACCTCCAACTGGAGGGAGTTTAGCCATTGCAGCAGCAACAGCGGCAGTCGCAGCTTGTGTGGCATCTCTCAAACTTGCGGAAGTGTCATTCTGTTTTGGAACTGCAGAGGTAGTGGTGTTTTGTAATGGAGCTTTGGTCACTGCAGGACTAGCTAATGGAATTGCTGGTTGAACGCGACCGCCGCTTCTAGGACCACTTGGGGTAGCTCGAGCTGCGGGAGGAGCCGTAGGCTGAGATTTTTTCGTAGCGCTTGCATCTACTTCAGTTGGTGAATTCTTGGAAGGAGGTGGTGTCGCTTGCTTGGGAGCTGGTCCAGCATTATTTCCAGTACCAGGAGCTTGAACATCTGCTGGTTTGTCTGTTGGGTTTGCGGAAGTAGGAGTTTGTTGTTTGTTCGCACCAGGTCCAATTGGCGATGGCTTTTGTTGCTGATTTTGCTGTTGGAAGTGTTGACCTGGTGGTGGGAAACCATAGCCTGGGGGAGGGGGGAATTGGCCAGGGTGTTGAGGAAATCCATGTCCAGGTGGGGGATACCAGCCTGGCGGGCCACCAAATGGCGACATTCCTGGAAACCCTGGACCAGGAGGAGCTCCTCTACCCCATCCTGCAGGCGGAGGAGGGTAAAATCCAGGAGGTGGATATTGTCCAAAAGCCATGCCTGGAGGTGGTCCTTGTTGCTGGGGAGCATTTTGTCCTTGCGGTGGAGGTCCCCGCGGATTTTGATTTTGAGGAGTAGGGGGTCCTGGCGCAGATGTAGGAGCTGGACGAGTTCCGCTCTTTGATAAGCAATCTTGTTAGCCAAAATTCTATGAGGATCAAACAATGAATATATGATTTGAGGGTCTGAATCAGAAGGAAGGCAACGGAAAATCTCCACACGGTTTTGCGCTCTCGGAGACAATATGATTTAACATCCGAAATATTTCATCATTAAAAGGAAGTCGATAGGTACAGCCAAGAATAATTTGGTATGCTGGCTCAAAAGGATAGCTCACTTACTCCAAGAATCGCAGGATCATTGGGCACCTGTGGGGGGATGCTTTCTCTGGGCGCAGGCGCTTCCTCAATACGCAGATCCTTTACATCACCACCACGGAAGACAATGTACTCGTAAATATTATCCGAAGCTGCAATCTCCTCTTCGGGGTTGTCCTTTCGTCCTTCTGTTCCATGAGACTTGACATTTTCCAAGGCCACCGTTGCGTTTTCCGAATTAATCTCATGAAGCGTACCGACGTATCTTAACTCGCGTTAATACTTGGCCAAATGTGACTTAACCATCGTAAATACCTAATATCGCTCTTTGATACCAAGGATATCCTTGATCTATGAACGCGCCTTTGTCAGTATGTGATGTAGAGTGTTGAAGAAGGTCCTCCAGTTTCAGCCTTGGAACTCACCCTATGAATTCAGACATGATGCCTTGTTAAACTGCGATCAGCTCACAGCCCACAGCTAGCTGCAGAGTAAAGAAAAAACGAGTAAAATCAAAAGAAAGAATGAGTATGTTGGATATCGGGCAATTGAGATGTAAGATGTTGAAGTGTGTTGGAGGGAGAGATGTTTAATGTTGGGTGTTACTTTTGTGGAGGGCATGAGTGTTATTCTGGCGAAAAGCTTAAAGCTAAGGTGCGGTGCGGCAAGGAAGCGCTCGCTTGAACTCTGTTCCTGTTTCGGTATAGGACCCGTCCCAAAGCTCCAGCAATTGACGGGATTATGTAATATGATTGGTTGGATCTATCGATTACGGCATGGCATATGACAGCTTGATAATTCACTACGGTTAGTCAAACGAACCTATAAAGCACCTCAACCCACCATGTGGGATTATCTCAGCCTTATTACAACCACCTACGTGACCTCACCTCATCATCCTCATCATCGACTACTTGTATTATTACGATTCTTCTCTACACAGTGAATCGGAGAGCAGTGAATTGGAGAGCTAACTCTTGCCGAGAGCTGTTCTTTATCAAAACCTCTTATTTATCTTTCCAATACAACTCAACCTCATCAAACACATCAACGATTTACCTCGATAATATCACAACACCACAACACCCCACCATCTGATAAGCCGGCCTCGCCAACGTCGCCATTTACCACCATAATTTCTATGTTACACCGATATTTACTTATCACCAGCAGCTTTGTGTCTTTTCTTTCTTAATCACCATCTCATCTCGTTCTCCAGAATGGCGACAGATACTTCAGGTCAATCAGGAAGCAGCGATATCAGCATTTACAAGGGTCTCGTTTCATATCCATGGGATACCGATAAAGAGTTCCAGGTAAGCTTCTTGCTATCTTCTTTCAAAACCTCCTTCATTTGCCCTCGATACCTCATTCAGAGTTACATATTTTGGTATATCATCGATTAACATAAAATAGGGCGGTCTATCAGCTATATTAGGCAATGCATCTTCACCTGATCAAATTCGAGAATTGACACTTCGGGCTCAGTGTTTCTATCTCTCTCGTAAGAAGAAGATTGACATCAATTTTGATGGATATAAGGCATATCTGGCAACTCACCCATCCACATCTTCTTCTACTGATGCCCCTGCGCCTGATAGCGCCAGTTCAGCAAATGATACTTCATCTTCCAACACTCCAAATCTCGATCATGAAAATGACCTACCACCTGCTACCACTACAGCTGATGAAAAGGCCCCGCCACCATATCCTCCATCCTTTGCTGAAATCGTCGCTTTAATCACAGCTGGTGCCACAATCCCGGGAATCCGCGATATTCCCGATACAGTTCTGACGGATCAGGGTACCAAGCCGGTTGCACGAAAGCGTCGCAAGCCATGGGAGAAAGACGTTGACGAGGAAGCGATTCAGGGTGGGGGAACTTTTGGCGACCACCGAGATACCATCATACAGCAAGAATACCCAACTGATGTATGAAGGTATCCATTTGCATTGTGGTCACGTTTTCTCACCAATACTTTACATTTTCCGAAATTATGGGAACGGCAATATCCAAGGACCAATTAATTTGTGGAAGCAGCCAGGCATTGAGCTTCTTCTGGTTCATATGACAAAGGACCGTGGACATCAGATGGACTTATCAAGCTAGAAGCTCGCAAGCTGATATATTTTCATGTTGTTCAAATGAAAGCTGTTGTACTTGTGATTTTTTCTATGGATTTCTACAATGCACGCGGGTTTTTTTCTAAAATCGCTGCTCATGTTACTTTCCGAGCTTGAAAGAATTGTCAGATCTCTCCAAGTCAACCCCTTTCTGCGTTCTAGTGAACCTTGTGTTGCCAGTCGGATCTATCGAGTGCGGTATGTTTAGTAGCGCCAAAACTTCGCGCAACCATGGTATTGGGCGGGACTTTATAAGAATCTGAATATTCATAAGGAGCCCAGGATTAGAACACAGCATTGAGTCGAGGTTCATTTTATAACTTTATGGGGCTGGACATACGATTGTAGACCAATCTTTGTCCTTCAATTTATAATCGAATCACTCTAAGGAACCACCTAAAATTAATCTTTCAATTAAGAGTTCTGGAACCTACTTACCGCACATGTAACGCTTTTCCGGCTAAAATATGAGATTATTCAACTTTTCATACCCTAGTTTATTTATTATAATAAAAGATAAAATCAGAAATTCTTCTGGAAAGTGTTATTTAATTAATCAAATCTTATAAAAAAATGAATAGAATATTTTTTTCTAATTTTTTAAATAGAATTTGAAAGAGTTAAAGTTGAAAATTCGAAATTTTTATGAAAATTCGCTTATTTTGTATAGGAAAAACATTACATATTAGAATTTTTAGAAAAATTCGATTTCAATACTATATAACTATTCAACAAAAATAATGAAAAATATTTCAAATAATTTTTTTATATTTTGATTATAATTATTTATTATATCCGATTTTTTTGAAAAGAAAATATGAAGATTTGAATGAAATTTCTAATATAATAATTTGTATGGGAAAACCTCATTTTTGCAGGGATTTTGTCACATTTGTCACAGGGGTGCGGTAAGTAGGTTCCAGAACTCTTACAATAAACTGTCTTATCTCCCCTGATTTTATCCTTTGAATTAATATTTGAGAGCTATTTAGTGAAACGCATGGTTAGAAGGCTCCTGAACTTGGCAGATTAATAAACATTTGAACCGGCCATCATTTTCGGGATGCCAGTCTTTAGATGATGTCATCTAACACCTTTGAAGCTGAGTTTTTTATTTTCTATTCAAAATATCTTACAAGCTTAAAAATTCACATACACCATTGGGTTTTGGGGGACTTCACCCCAGTGTAGATCATTCGCAATGTACATCCCCAATATCATTAATTACCTTCATGTAATAATCAGTCTGCAATTGTATTTGCAATTTGAGGGGATGATAAAAAGTTCCATGTGCCAGATCTACAGACGGTTGCCAAGCACTATCGTTTACCCCCCCCTGCCAAGGGCCTCGGACATCAATTAGCGAGCACAAGTATGCATCTGACGTTCTGAATCGTTCTATTGTTATGCTATAGTCATCTGCTATTAGGCAAACCTTATTTTCGAACCATTTTGTCTTATAGTAAGGTGGTCTCACCTCGGTCATTATCTTCCAAGATTGTGTTTCAGGTGACTAATAATTAGATTCCTGATTTCTGCTTGTCTAATATTCACTCTCACAGTCTACAAAAAATTGCCCTTGTTACCCATCACCCTCAATAGAATTAAGATAGCTTTCTGAGTTCTGTGTGTCCACTTGAATAACAAGCTCTCAATAAAATCTTGACTTTCCAGCCTACACAACCAAATTTGACGACAATTAAGAGCACCCATAGCATTCTTACATCTACTAGTCTTGCCATTCCTTTCATCTCTACATTATGAAGGTTCTTTTGTTTGTCTCTGCACTTGTTGCATTCATCATACCTGCGCTAGCTGGAACTGTTCCTCTCGGATCCAAACAATCGATCGTAGGATTGTGGGGAAAATCAACCAATATTTCCGTTCTATATTGCTACAGTGAGTAATGAATACCTAAGCTCTGGGAAAGTTCTTGTCATTTCAAGAAATACCCGTGTCTGAACTCCAATTAAGCAATATTGTAGTGGATGCTACTTGCATGCAAATGCGAGAGCATTGGCAATCCTGTCAAGTAGATCTTTTCAAAGACGTCAATGCACCCATCGGCAATCCCATCGCTCGCAACGAATTAGTAGCAAGCTGTCTTTGCAACGCCGGCATGCCTGCCTTGACATCCGAATGTCTGGCCTGTATCAGTCTTGCTAGCCAAAATTTCGTGGTCCAAGAAACTTTACACACGCTTGCTCAGGATGTGTGTGATAAGAAGATTACTCTTGGTCAATATGAAAATCAGGCCTCGCAATTTGGTAGCGCGGTGAAGTTTCCTCTTATCTTGCCATCGCTTTGGCTTAATGGTACGAAGGTTACATCTCCGGATCAAATTGTTGTCGAGAAGTGAAATCTTCAGTCGTGTTCGTGAGTGTTTTACAGTCCATCGGGCGTTCACGTTTTGATATATTCTCCGCTGCAACTACTAATTAATGAGTGCAGAATTTGATAGCTTCCTGGTGGAGATCGATTTGAGCATGCGGAAAAAATGGGCGCACTCGTGAAGTGCAGATCTACTGTGACGGAATCATTTTCTTGGACCTTTCTTGAATTTGCGATAGTGGTCAAGAGATTCGGCGGCGTTGCTTTCCAGGGAAAGCCCACTCTTCAGATTTAAGGATATGAATTGACTGTTTTTTGAAAATCCGTTTTGGTTCCATTATGCTGAGGCTTCACGTTTATGCTTGTGGTTGCTGCATTTAAATCCCTTTCTTGCGACCATGACTACTATGCATATTGCTGTAGGCGAGACCCCGCTAAATAAATCTTATTCGGATTGCATCAGAAACCCCTCATCATCATATTTTCTGCTACCATGGGATATTATGCAACACTTTAGGGGTTCCTAAAGATCTCGTATCATTGATCCATGCAAATCACTATCACAGGAAAGACACTTTTCAATGAAAACCCTTTCATTTGTTAGAATGTGTTGTAGACACAAATAACTATCGTACCCTTTTCCAATGTGACGATAACTCGGATCAATTAAATACAGAAGCTTTTATAGCTGCAGCCATAGACCAATTTACTCATCTGCTAGACGATCCATATTTTGAAACAACCCTGTGTTTTTGTACAAATATCTCCTAGCACCAAGACCAATTTTCCTATTCCTCATTCCAATCCTCTATTCTGATTGTAGGCACTATATCTTTTTCACCTTTAGATGTACTTAGACTTGCAGTGACCACTTGAATGAACGGTATCTCCCATCTTTCTACCTCGCTTGGATCTGCCCAGGGAGTAACAGAAACTAGTTTGACACCCATTAGTTAGCTGGATATTCATAAGTCCTGATTGACCTTCGTCATGTTTTGATTGAGTGAAAGTACTCACAACCTCGATTCCCAGCTTCAATAGCCCGCGACTTAATAAAGTCGAGTATCAGCCACGCATCTGATGCCAATCGTCTTGCTGACCAGTACTCAGTAAGTGGTTCTACTTCTGGCGATGCCACTGGCTTGCCTAATGCCTTCCTCCAATATTGAGCGAGAGATTTCCGGGATTTAACAGAAGCATCATGGGGAACACTAGAAACCATTCGAATTCTCTCTGGAGCATAAAATTGTATCTCGCCATTGTAAATTGGTCTCTCTGGTACTACGTCTTCGACTTCTAGTACCAACATGATACCCTGGAGATTTTCAAACGTCGATATTATGCAACTGAGGAAATTCAGCATGTCTTCCAGCTCAAAAAGAGATTTTCGTCGTGTTTTGTATGGAATCGCGAGATATTTAAGGTTATGAAAAGCTGAGCGAGCAAGTGCTGATCTTCGTAGTTCGTCGAGCCAAAAATCTCCTTGGATCCATATGATGTCTTGAGGATTGTAAATTATGTTTCTGTGCGTACGCGTTGAATAAATGGGAAACGCACTCGGCGGTCCATCGGTGAATGAATCACGTAGGACGGTATTGCGTTTCTCATTGGCAATTATCTTTAATGCATCCTCAATGCTTAAAGTGGTATGCGATCTGGTGATTCCTGGCTTGGTGAACCTATCAAGAAACATATCCCGGTATTCATGATTGAGGCATAGGATTGGTGGCAAGGAACCGCACGTAAGACGAAAGCTCTTTCCAAACATATAGTGATGTTGTAGAAGATCAGATGAAACGAAATTCAATGTTGTAATGCGTGGTTCTTCGAGGTACAATTCCAAAATGTCAAGCTGTTGAGATGCACAAGTGTCAGTTGTCTTTCATTGAGAAGGAGGTCTTGTGAAATACAAATAGATAGTAGCAATGAGACACTTACTCTTAGTTCAATTGGCAAGTCTTGAAATCTATTGAATGTCCTTTCTTCTTCCTCTTCCTCCCAGGGCCCACCATTATGAAGAACTTCTCCATTACTTTGTGATTCGCCAGCGTTCGAGGTATCTGTGCCCAACTCATGATTCAATGAAGGCTTAGAAACCTTGGAAAATAATTGTTTCGAAATTTTCTTTACTTTGTGGAAAAAGAGATGATTTTTGTGAGGTCCTTTCATTCCAGTCGAAGCTTGTTGATACCTGTGGACAATAGCATGATTGGTGACAGTTGTTGAAATTCTTTCGAGTCGTTTTCTTTGAAAATCAGTAATAAAACGAAGCATCCTGGAAATGTAAAAAAGGTTATGAAATCCATGGGATTTTGAAATTGCAATTTTCTTATGTATGTAGTAAGTTCTGTGACTTTAACTCCGCAGATGGAATAGCCAAGGAAGTATACCCAAAAGAGTTAGTGCGTGCAGACAAATTTAGCATATATATTCACTCTACATGATACGATACTGGCTCTGCCTGGATCCGATGAGAATTAAAAAATAGATATGTTGCAATTGATTGAATTGATAACAAAGTAGAATGAGAGTCAAAGAACCCCCCGCATCTGATTCAAACCGCTTCTTTATTCTGCATTGCTTAAGATGATAGCAGCGGGCTTTCACACTCTGATGAAACGTATATCAATCTTCAAATCAGCAACCAAATTACTTGAAGTGAATTATCATGGACTTTCAATCAAGACCATATCCAAGTGAAAATCTTGAATCACTTCACTGCCAAGCTACATAGAAAATGATGTAAATTTTTGGCGAGCATGATCGTGAAGCTAGCGGTCTTTGATAAGAATCCCGGTATCAACGCAAGTGAACTTATTACAAGTGTGCTGAATGTTACTCCAAAATAACACATAACACAAATTCCTCTCTCAATAGAGCTCATAGGGAACTGCTAAAGTGCGCATGGGGTTCCAAAGTCATTCGTCATTCTACCTCAACAACCACGAAAACTCGGCGTCCTTTCGATAGAGCAGATAAATGAATCATCTATCCAATACTGCACTCATTTAATCCCATGCCATGTTAGGCTTCAAGGATCAACCAAAAACATCCGACAAGCAGTTCAAAGTCATTTTCTACAATGGAATATCTAGATCATTGAGTATTGGGAGCTCTTCCGAGGTTCAATACATTGCTAACCAAGCTAAGTAACGAGTGTCCATATCTGTCCATAAATCTAATGTCACTATCCAGTTTTTCGTTCCGACCTGCCATGGACTTTTTATCAATAAGCATCACTGACTGCCTAAAACTAAAAATTTCAGATGAAGGGTAAGTTTCCATTAATCAACTACTTATGATAAAACTCCCCCAGATTCCTAGTAGTAAATACACGCTGTAGCCACGGATCGTAGCAAGAGTAGGCAGAAACAGATTTGGAACAGCCATGCTCGAACGCTGGATAGCCAACTCGACCTTTGTGGGCCAGGGAAATGAGTATGTCGCTTTCGATTGCTCTATTGAAAGACATGACTACTCCGATTTCTGACCACTCTTCTTAGGCTTGCTGTACCGCTCATCGCTTTTATGGTATCTTTGATATCTGCTGGAGCATGATGTCCATCGAAAGTCAAAGGGTCCTGGTTGAAGAGATGTTAGAGAGCTATGATTCCTAGAAATATTTAGTATTTGATCATCAATCACTGGATCACAGTCCACACCTTATATGCTCTCGCACTCTTCGACTGGATAAAATTAGGAGTACTTAGACGGCAACTTACTTTCTTACATGTCTCTTCAAGCCTGATTTCAAACGTTACCAGAGTACGACTAGGGATTAATCTCAATTATTCCATCAGCGGACAGGGAAGTCTTTTCCTCCATTCTAGCCCGTTTTTGATTCCCTTCTTTACCTGTATCAGGAACTGCTCGTTTACGAAGAGAGACTATTTTTTGCCTTTCTGTTTTAATTCCGATTACTTTTCCAATAGCGGGAAGTGATTTGGCCTCTCTAGCATTCTTCTCATTTTTCTTTGAAAACACTTCTTCGACGGGTCGTCTTATACTTATTAAAGCTGGATCATGCTGTTCACTAGATTCGCTATCGTCATCCAACTGTTCAATTTGGGTGGCCTCCTTTTCACGCAGCTCATAATTCTTGATCATGTCTGTCAACTCATCCCAAGTTCCATTTTCCTATTGCACATTAACTTTAATTAACGAGGGGTTAGAGCTGAAACTTACATCAATATTGTTTGCTCGCAGCACTAGAAGCACTTGATTCTCGAAACATTTCTCGACCCGTTTTTCTTGTTCCTACACAACATGAGCTAATTGCAACCTCATTATGATGTATATATACTTTTGTTATATAACGAGTGCGAGTAGCCGATGCTTTAAATTCAGCATGCATTGTTCTGTAATGGCGCCAAAGATTCACAGGCGTGTCTCTTTTCTAATGATCATTAATTGGAAATAATTTGGGGCATCTCTGTCGGGGCATACCGTGTTTTCACATAGACTCCCATCTTGATTAGGCGCACGACAGAAAATCTCGCCTTTGGGGACGTAAAATCTCCTTCTTGTTTCTTTCGACTTTTCGTCTATCCAATCTTCATTCTCCCATGCCGTCATTTCCTTTGGACGGCTAGTGAATTGGTGATACAGTTTGCCCAAATTGGGGTTCATTATATCTGATTGTCAATCAACGTTATGTGAGTCACTGCTGAGGGTCGGTATTATGGTTGTGCACTTTTTTTTCAGACTTGGAGGTGGTGGGGAGGGCTATCAAGCACTGAGAGTTGAGGTTTTGTATGTAGGCGATAAGAAGTCGGACGATAAAATTGTCGATTACTGACAGATCAGTATGATATTAATGAGAGAATTATTTTATTTAATCAATAAAGTGATGCAAAGTGTTGTATTAGTTGAAAGAATAAGAATGGGAAGTAGCATGGCCATGTGAGATCTGTAGTATTCTCTCCTAGAATCCGGAAGGAAACACCATCGCTTAGGTAGCAAAAGTCTTTCCAAGCAAGTACTCTTATGGTTCCTTCTCTTGATAGCTTGCTATGTGTAAAAATGGATATCAAACCGAGGTATGGATTGCCACAAAGCCTGTTGGAAATTAAACGTGCAGCTGTGATGAATGAATTAATCAGATAAAAATACAAATCGTTCACACTTGATGCTCAGATCAGGAAATAACATGTTTTTCAGCTTCCAAGATCATTAATCCAAGGAAAATTGGTATTTTTCTCTAATAATCGTCTAAATCCCTAACACATATATTTGCATGAGATTGAAGCAATTCTTGGAGCTTCGAATGCGTATTTCCATATTTTCAGCTGGGCTTTCCGTTAGAGTTCTTCCTCATTATTCATGTCATTTATAGTTCCTACTGCATGTTCACTTACTTTTATTTCGGTTGGAAGCCACTCAAATAAACCAAAATCACAATCGTTAGTGATCACCGTAACTCTTTCTCCTGCAACAGTGATGATGAATTTATTTTTATCAACAGTGGTTTCAGTGGTTTTAGAATCGAACTTTCCTACACTAATTACGCCTGATCGAAGTGTTTGTACAGAATTGAGGCCAAGATTACGGAATGCAGAGTACGAGAGATCTCTTCTTTTCGAAATTGAATCTGTTTTGGTGCCCGAAATCACTAAATCTTCGTTGGCAGACATAGAGACGGTAGAAAGGAGCGAAATTTAAGTAAAACTTCGAAAGGCGAGAAATTTGCTGGTAGGGTTTGGCTATGAGGTCGAATAAGATTCCTCAAAAAAGATACCAAGGTTGGAAAAGGTCATTGAGGGTCCTCCGAAGATCAGTGAGAAAGCCGTAGTAGAGACCCCTTTTATATAGCAATCATTGATGATTATTCTTCAAGAGTTGCTGGAGTTTCATGTCAAGCTGATTGGTTTCCGAAGTTGAAGATGAAGATATACAAAGGCTCGGAGTAAGGAGTTACCCTTGCCCGAGGGTGTAGAGGTGGTCTTGGATATCAGACTATCTTATATTTCAACAAACGCACGAGTACAGCAAGACAGGAACAATTTAGTGAATATTATGCATTGAACAGAATAAAACGCATGCTACGTACCTATCTATCTACTAGTTATAGATTGTATTCCAGAATCAATATAGAAGATTCAACATTCAGTGGACTTTTAAGTACCTTTGCTGGTCATTGAATTGCTCGTCATTGAATTGCTTATTATCTAATTTGAAACAGATATTAAAATAGTTAGAATTTTAAAATTAGTCGCCTTGTTCAATATCAGATCTTACATTATCGTAACATACGTATTTTAATGAATGCTCTAGAAAAACATTAAAGAATTCAATTCATCTCTTCACCATCTAATAAGGATTCCACAATCAGAAACAACTAATCAACATCTCTTTCTAGTAAAGTGCTGTCATACATCATGATAACATCATGATACGTGCGTTTAGATATTACCTAACTCTACGAAGCATGAAATGCTTATACAGCGGCTTATACATATAATTCTGATGTTAATTGGTTCAAAATTCAAATTAGCCGAACGAACGCATTCAATAACTTCACTCTTCCATATTTCACTCATTCTACACCAATCCAAGAAGCGATTGCTTATAAATCGGAGTAGGCACTCCTATGATCATATGTACATCTTTATAATTTTGTCTTCCATTCAATCCACAAGCCTGCCAGCCTTCAAACGACACATTTTACAACAACAGTCACAACAACAATATGACAGATCACACGCCAGGTATTATTTCTTCTTATCACAATGAACCTAGAGAAATGAAGCTTGAAGACAAGACTGAGAAAGACTTAGATTCTTCGAGTCACCTAAAAGACGAAGGAAAAGAAAAAAACAGTAACTCCGATGGACCTCACAAGAATAACATTTTGGACCTAATCAGAAGTTCAACAAGTGGCACCTCTCATCAAGATTCCCAAGAACTCAGAGATGAAGGCACAGAGAACGAAGCAAGAAGTGCCCCTTTTGATAGAAAGACCGAGACTGCCAGCAGAAAAGAACGTCGTTATGAGCTGGTAGCAGCAGACCCTCTTCATGGAATCACATCTTCTACTTTAGATTTTATCTACGCAACATTGGAGGATGAAAACTTGTCTAAAAGTTCTGAGCTCAGTGACAAGATTAGGCAGGCTTTTTCTGCTTTGGAAGATGAACTCTTCAATGAAGATGAGGAAGCGATCTTTGAGAGGTTCCCTAAACTTCCTCCTGAAGTTCGAGTATGTTAAGAATTTCCAAGTATCCTTCTCCTAGTCTAAAGACGACCGTGAAGATATCTCACAATTCCTGCTAACATTTCCACAGACAATGATCTGGAAGCTGAATCTTCTAGAACCAAAAGTTGTGCGCGTCGGTATTGTGCCAACAGAACGCACAATAGAGCAATGGCAATACTGCGCTGGTGACCTTATGAAAATCGATGGTCACATGCCGATGCTACTCGAACGAAACTCCATTCTCAAGACCCCTCCCTGCTCTCTTCTCTCTGTCAATAGAGAATCTCGAGATCAAGCATTACAAGTACACGGTGTCTTTTGGGAACAGAGGCGCCCGTGTGAAAAAGCCGAGGGCGGTTATGTTTCAATCAACCGCATATATGTCAATTGGGAGATCGATACCTTATGGTTGGATTACAACATCTCCGTCGCGTGGCATGATAATAAAATGGATCCAAGCGACATACTGATCACACCAATGCCCGCATACGATAAAGTTCGTCGTCTTGCAACACCAGGAGAATCTATCGAATGGCCTTGTGACTATCAAGTATCGGATACAGGTTTAGCAATTGCAGATTTCCCAAATCTAGAGGAATTGTTTTTGCTAGTTCCTACGAAAGAGACAGAATGGAGCGACCCGATTCTCGTCCCAACGCCAATAAACACGAAATTCTGTAGCTTTCTCGACAAATTCGATGCGGACTCACTTGGTTCGGGTATCGAATTCTTTTTTGGCGAAGATGAATACGACATTATTACTGAAAATTTAGATATAGGTGAATTGAGGGACAATGTATATTTTGTCTTTCAGCACACCCTTGAGAATTTTGCTTCTGCAGATAACGAGGAAGAAATCGAAGGTAAGCATAAGGTATCAAAGATATTAAATCAGGCAACTAACTACTCTTACCAGCGGGATATATACGTGATCTTTCCACCTGGGAATGGCCAGATGTTCGATTCATGGAAGTAAGCACAATTGAGAAGGAGAAAGTCAAAGTTGTAGCTGAAGCTCTACTTGAGGTTCTGCCAGCAGGGGTCTATGAAGTAGACGATGAAGACACCGATGAAGAAAGCCGTGGTCCCAGCAGCACATCGTTTTATTACATGCTGCTTTTGCGACGTTAGAGGGACTTCAGGAACAGGCAAATCTCCAGTCGAGCAAAGGCTAGCGCCTTGGTTGGTTTTTCTAAGCTAGATTTGCAATAAATGGATGATACATATGATGGTAAAATTTGGCAATATGTGCTTCCATAAACCGCACTACTGCAGAGCACGCAGCTTTTTCTTCACAAAATACACGTGAAATTCTTGAACAGGAAAAGGAAACGGCAGAGCAGATTTCCTGACTTCCAGTCTAAAAGCATACCCAGTTTACTACTAACGTGAAAAATTCGAATAACATAAGCAAAGCTTGAAAGATTGATATGAGGTGGAAAAGCTCTCGCATTCTTCATTGGCTTCCAAGTCATGCATCTCTGTTCATTATTCCACTTGACCTTTCTCTCTCACAGCACATATTACCCCAAAAACCAAAAAGAGAGACAATTGCAGTGTCACTAACATCACATGTAGATTATTGAAGTAACAATTGATTCTTAAATTCATTAACAATTTACATATTGTACAAACTTTGGTAGCTTCAGGCAGCTGACTCGTAAAACTTTCCGAATTCCGTCAGAATCCTTGACCAAAGATTACGCCTGTGGATCATCACAACAACTGACAGGTGAATATAGTATACCAACAATTTAAGATGTACCCCTAAAAACCCTAATCGTAAAAACGTCTATCTTCGCGGATCTCGTTGATCATCCCGACTTCGGTAATATTGTTGTTCTCTTTCCCTTTCCTGTCTCTCTCTCTCACGTTCTCTCTCATAGTGATGCTCATAGCGCTCTTGATTTTGTTGTTGTTGATATTGCATGTGGTGGGAAGGTGCTTGGGCATAACCTTGCTGACCTGAAACTGATGTAGATGGAGCAGCATTATAGTTCCGGGCATCGAAACTATTTTGTCGTGAATTGTGCACATGATGACCTACTTGATGACCTTGAATCCATTGACCACGTGGTGCTGGTGGAGTTCGATGTCCACTTTGTCCACTTTGTCCGAATGCTATAGATCGATGACTGGCTGCCACTTGAGGTGCTGAATGGAAGTCTACTGGTGTATTCGGTTGTTGTGGCACAGCGAATTGTGATTGACGATTATATATATCACGATCGGAAGCTTGAGGTATTTCATGAGGAGACGACATTGTCTGACGTGCCATCTGTTGACTAGCAGGGGGAGGAGTAGCAGAATAAGGTGATTCATTAAGCTTCGTAATTGGACTTCGTGTATATCCGCTCGGAGCATTTATTTCATTTAAAGGCTCTCGACGAATAGATGAAGACTGCGAACCAATTGTTTGGCGAGATGGTTGAGAATACATCTGGTGATGTTGTACAGTTGGTGGAGGTGCATGACTTCGGCCTTCATAAGGTGTTGGTGTATAACTGCGACCCACGGAGGATGAATGTTGATGCATGGATTGAGAAGATGATTGTGGATACCCATGCTGTGGATTCGTTTGAGAAGATATTTGATGTTGAGCCTGCTGCATCTGCTGATTTTGTTGAATTTGCTGGGACATTTGTTGCGACTGTTGAGATGAATGCGATGAAAATCGTGAAGTCTGCAATGAACGTTGAGGTGGTGGAGTTTGTGAATTTTGAATGGGAATTGCCGCGGCACCACCAACTCTCTTCGGTTGGACTTGTGCTATGGGAGGAGCTCTGCTAGGTTCACTGGATTCATCGTTCAACAAGGACATGATATTGGAAGTCTTTCTTGGTGTGTCTTGCTGACGTATAGCAGCAACAGCCGCCGGTGGAGGCGGTGGTGTTGAATACTGCTCTTGGATTGGCGGGGTAACAATGCCCGATCGACCGAAAGCTGGAGAAGGAGATGGAATCAAGTTTGGAGCAACACTCATACCATCACTAAGCAAATTCCTGACACCTTGACTTCTCGGATATTGTTGATTTGGTGCTAAAGATGGTGCTTGTCTTCGAACCTCCGTTGCGGTGACTGTCGGATATGGAACCTCGGGTCTTGTAGGTGCCATTGATCCTGTACGGCTAGAGTGTGCAGAGTATAGTTCATATTGTTGTGGATTTCGTACATCAATTTCCTCTTGCTTCATCTGAAAATTTCGTTGTTCTCGCTTTTCTTTTCGATCTTGTTGTTCTCGTTGTTCACGCTGCTCATGATCACGCTCTTGTTTTCTCTTCAAAGTTCGTTCTAGCTGTTCTTGTTTTGACTCCCTTTCCCTTTGTAGCTGTTGCTGCCGCTCGATAGCCTCCATTTCCCTTATCTGCTCTCGTCTTTGGAATACCTGCTGTTGCTCACGATGTGTCTGTTCTCGCAAAGCCTGCTGCTCTCGAAGGGCTTGTTCTCGCTCTCTAATCGCTTGCTCTCGAAGGGCTTGTTCTCGAATAGCCTGCTGCTCTCGTCTGGCCTGGTCTTGTAAAGCTAGTCGTTTTATGGCTTGTTGTTGTTCCTGTGACATTCGTTCTACCTCATGCTCAAGAGCCTTCTGCCTCTCGCGATGGGCTTCCTCGGCGACCCGAGCTGATCTTTGAGAAGCAAGTGTGGTTGGATCGGAAATTGGTGAAGCAGTTTGAGATTGCTGCGAAAGATTACTCTGTAACGTGGGACGTTGATTATCAGTCGTGAAGAAGCCCATAGCAGGACCTCTTGGTTGTCTAACTGGCTGACTCTGGATTTGTTGTGGTTGTGGTTGTATCTGAGAGGCTGTTGCTGTTGCTAATGGTGATGCTGATATTGGTTGTTGCTGTTGCGGGATTTGAGATAAGCTGTGTTGATTAGCCTGATGATGGGAGCGTTTGGATGGCAATGAACTAGGAGTTATCGTTTGATTCATTGATTGGGGAACTGGTCCAGCTTGAGCTAAAGCTGGGAACCTAGTACTCAATGCGGGTTGAGGAGGGGAGGCTTGAGAAAGAGTTATAGGTTGGTTAGCAGATAGTTCATCGAGATCCATAGCAGAAGCTGATCTCGATAGAGGAGCGGGTGAGGGGTCATATCGTCGCTTCGTTGGAGCAGTTGGTGTTGGTGCCGGTCCAGTAGATTCGCCTCTCTCACGTTTCGAGTCAGCATCTCGAGTGATCGCTTCCCATTCTTTCTTACTTCCAGAATCAACCGAGCGTTGGTAGTAGTTCTTGACCTGTTCAGCAATGTTAGCTAGCCGCTTAAGGCCTAGTTTTCCTTTCTTGATATCAAGCCAATCAGAAAATATATCGTTATATACCATGGTATGTGTTTTTGTTCCCATATGTTTTGCAATCCCTTGCCAATCTGTACCAAAATGTCGTAGTAATTCAGGAAAGTCATGCACCTCCGGGACACTCCAATAGCTAGAAGTTTGTTGTTGGGCAGTAGAACGACGATCCGGTTGAGATTCAACAGTTGTTGGAGGGGCAGATCCAACACGTTCAGGTGCAATTGGGACCTCTAGATTAGCTGGTGTAAGTCTCTCGGGTGTCATGAATGGTGGTGAAAATGCTGGAAGTTGTTGAGGAACAATACTTTCATATGGAGGGAAACGAGCAGGAGCTACAGGAGGTCTAATTGGAGTAGGCTCGGGTGCAGCGGTTGATGGGGGAGGATTCGGCGATTCATCGTTACGGGTAGCAGGAGATGGGGCAGCTGCTAGAAGTTGACTAGCCTTGGGTTGTTTCGGAACTTTCTCTCGTGGAACCTTTACTTTCCTTTTGGGTGGAGCTGAGTCACCATTTGCATCTCCTTTTGGGGTAGCAACTCTTTTCGCTGGAGTTGGTGCAGGGCTGGCGCCTTCATTGTCAGTTGGTGGAGGTGCTTCAAAATTCCAGGTTGGAGCAGCAGCTCTCCTAGGTCGACGTCTTTCGTTGCCATTCTCGACATCTGGTGTAGCGTCGGTGTCGTTGCCGCCTCCATTTTCTATGTTGGTAATGAGAACGCTAGATTTTTTCGCTCCTTTCCTCCTACCAGTTTTAACTTGATTATTTTTCTTCTTGAAGATCGCTTTCCATTCATCAGTTGTTTTGATAATGTAATAGTGTTGAATGCAGGCCTTGTAATCACGATGTGGAAGGCTTTCTGCGATGACAGAAAATTGCTTGCCAGAATGGGAGTACTTCTCTCGAAAAATGCGAGCCTCTTCTTCCGTGAAATTGTCGATGGATTCTCCAAATTCAAGCATGCGAAATGATCGCTCAAATGGAACCTTATGCGTAGTATCTACAAACATAGTTTCTTTGTATTCATCATCCCAACACATATCTGGAATGCTCGCTTCCTTGGAATTAGCGGTCTCTTCCCTGGCATCCTGTTCTTGCTGTTCCTTCGATTCTTTAGCTTCACGCTCGGATTCACGAAGGACACGTTCTATATCGTGCTCTGTCGCAAATCTACTCCCAGTACGCCGCTGACCCTCTGTCTTCGGATCTGAACCATTTACCGATTTGCCTCGTTCGACCGATTCCTCGGCTTCCCTGTCTTGGGCTTTAGCAAATGCTTCTCTACTTCGCACAGCAATCGGATCCAAATCCATATCAGTAAATGTGCGGTATTTGGCATAATTGTCTGCCCACAGTTTCCCTTCTTCTTGTTGTCTTCTCCATTTCTGCGCCATTTTTTCTTCCATGAACCTTGTAAGAGAGGGTTCGGCATCAGGAGCAATTTCAAGAGAGCTCAAGAACTCTGGATCCTCGTCCCATTTATTATAATCGTACATTGGCAAAGATTCCGGAGGGGGTGTCTTTGTATCCCTGGGGTGCTTGACGGCGTCGAGAATTTTAGACTGGCGATCTTCTTCGAGGGCGGCTTCTTGTTGAACAAGCTTTTGCCGTAAAAGTTGGAATCCGGCTTGTTCAGCTTCATCTTCATCATCATCACTTTCTTCGGGGATCTCCATCGTTAGTTCTGGGGCCTGTGGTACTGGTGAAGGCATCTTTTGTGGTCCAAAATCATAATGACCATCTTGTTCTTTTCGAAGACGGCGAATTTCTTCTCCGGAATTGCTCATATCATTGACTGCCTCCTGATTGACAGATTCGTTATTTTCAACTGTCTCTGTACCC